ATGGAAGAGGTCTTAGTGGTGTTGCCTGTTCCTGGTTGTGCCACTCCTTCCCACGCTATGTAAAATTCAGAATTATTTTCAAAGGAGTAAAATTCTGTTGGGGGAGGAGAGAATGTCACAAGAAATGATCCCTATTTGTCCAGTATTCTATTTAAAATTAATTTTCACATCATTCTTCTTGAAGTCCCCCCTGCCCCGTGACAGAGGATAAATGAAGTAACATATTCAAGGAAATGTTTGGTTTAATTCTAATGTAATTATCTTTACAGATGGACATCTCTCTGGGTTGGGGGTTTTGGTTGTTGAGTTGGTTTAGGTTTTGTTTGTTGATTTTGGTTTTGGTTTTTTGATTTTTTTTTCTTTTGAGATGATCAAAATATGTTTTCACTGGTATTAACAACCTCAGTCACTTCTCTTAACAGTCGGAGTGCATAAACATGACACTGCTTCTCAAAGAATCGAAGCAAAATCAGCTTGTTAGTGACAGCAACTTCAGTTCAGCACTTTCCATTTTGGTTTACAACACCTTCTCCCCCTTTCTCCTTCACCTTTCCCCTCTTTTTCCCCCTTCCCTAGCCGGCCTCCTCCGGGTACCACGGGCACTCGGAGGGGGGACCAGAAGGAAGCTGAGGGGGATCTGGGGGGAGATCAGGGGAGGTTCGGGTGGGACACGGGGTGTCAGGAGGAACTGGGGGATCCGAGGGGAGTCTGGAAGAAACCGCAAGGTAGACAGAGGCAGACCGGGGTGTTAAGGCGAGGGAGAGCAGGGGCATGGCCGGGGGGAGAGCCAGGAGACCTCGGGGGGAGCTGGGCTTCAGCCCCGGGTGCGGGGCCTTCTCCCCCTGCCTGCCCGCCGCCGCTGTCAGCTCGCTGCCTGCACTTTAGCTGTCTCTTTCCCAGTCCCTGCCCTGTCAGTTCCTGGCCTGCCAATTTCAACTTGAAGCTTGACTGGGCTGATTTGATGCAAATACCTCCAGGGAAAACCCTGAAACTGATGAACAGTTATGTCAAGTCGATTTTGCACCATCGGGAAAAGGTAACCTCTGTGAGAAAAAAAAACAACAAGGTTAAAGAGACAAGGGCTTTTCACGTGTAATACCACTGCTGCACATCTCGTTCACTGTTTACCATCCCTCAGAAATTGTAACTGTCAGAATTAGTCCTAATTGCAGATGCGAAAGCTGCCATTATAATAAAAACAGAGGCAGTGCAGGCATTAAATGTAGCAGCCTAATTTGTGAGACTACTGAAAAGGTAGAGTAAATGAATATTTCATTACTTTAATTACCAGGGACTACTCTTTTCTTGCTGTCTTATGATAAGTGTTGCTGTAACTAGCAACAGCAAACATCCACTAAAACATAAAGTGCAATAATAGTACTGCTGTCAGGATCGCTGCTTTAAAATACTATCGGGGAGGGGGTGAAATATAATGGTTTATCTATTTCTTAGAGATCCGCAAGAGTAGGAGATAGAAACTCGTTTAACGTCAAAAAACAAAGAGGCGAGTAAACAGGTTTTAGTCAAAGAAAATAATGACCCGGGGGGGGGGGGGGGGGGGGGGGGGGGGGGGGGGGCAGGGGAGGGGGAATTGAGGACACACTTGAAATCCCAGACCCAGGAGGGGCGATGGGCAGCGCGGAGCCTCTCCCCCTCCTCTCCCTCCCTCCGCCGCTCCCCCTCCTCTCCCTCCCTCCTTTCCTCCTTCCTTCTCTCCCTTCTCCCCGGGAGAGAAGTTTGGGGCAGAGGCCGAGGGTATAAGCGGGGGCCAGCCTCCCGCTGGCAGCCGCCCCGGTCTGCTTGCCCTCCGTTCCTCCCCTCTCCCCGGGTAGGGCTTTGCTCGGCAACGCCCGGGCACGGCGCCGCAACCCCCAGTCCGTGTGTCCGTCACCCTCCCCCCCGCCCCAAAGAGGCGGTTTGACTGCTCTGCTCCGGTGCCGGGGCCGAGGCGGCTCACCGGCCCAACCGCATCGCTCCGCAGCGCGGTGCCGGCGCGGCCCCAGCGGGGTGTCGGGAAGGTGATGCTCTCGGGGGCGGCGGTTCTCGTCCGGCCCCACCGAGCTCCCACAGGCCGGGTGGCCCCAGAGACCCCCGAGGGAGGCCGGGAGTCCCTGCCCCGCTCCACCGCCCCGGCGGCACGGCCGGGTGAGGTGTTGGGGGGGGGTGTCCCGGAGGAGGAGGTGGCCAGCAGCATCCCGGCTTGGCGGGAGGGTGCCCTGACGGGGATGCCGTACCCGGGGCCTTCCCGGGTCCGCGGAGCGCCCTCGCGTCGGGGCCGCCGCCTGCCTGGCTGCCGGTCCCGGCCCCGATGTTAGCCACACCGGCTCCCGACAGACCCTGGGAAATCTGTCAACAATTCTCAGCCACGCTGGTAATTGCATTCCGGGAATCCGCAGAGATAGATGTAAAGATAGGGAGCTGCCTCGACTTTTCCTTAGAATAATCGTTCTTGTTCACATCCATCCATCCCTCTCTCTAGCCTTTCCCAACCCCATTCCCCGTTCCACCTCCCACACTGGGCTCTCCAGAAACACACGGGACGAGCCGCTGTGCCTTACTTCTCTCCAAAGGGGCAACAACTCCCTCCTCGCCTTTGTGTGCCCATCCATCCAACCCAACTTTCCCGGCAAAAGACCCGAAAAATATGCAAGACTCGCACTGCAGCTGAGAAGCAGGACAAAGTTTAACTTCTCTGTTGGCAGCTGGAGAATAACTCCCAGGCAGGATTCGAGCAAAAGATCTGATTTGCTGAATTCTGCTCTTTGGTTTGTATTTGTATGTTATTGCTACTGCTAAGGTTGTTGCCAACCTCAATTAGATCACAAATGAGATCAGTTGAATTCGGCTCCCAAACTGTGACCTGACCATGGTCTGAAAGTATTCAAAACCGCATTTTAAGCCTTCCTTTGATTTCAAAAGGAATACTGCATGCTTGGTCATTCATACAAATAACATAAAACGTAATTATGGGATGATGGGAGGACACTCCTGCCAAACGATGCTACATGCCAGCCATAGCACTGCAATGCTATGGCTGCTGTCCTGGTGCTCCAGTGCACAGCACCCTTGTGTAAGGGGGTACTAGCAGGCTGTGCACAATGTTGAGGTGTTTAAATGTATTTGGAGAGGCCAATGCAACAGCAATGACTGTACCACATTAAAACCCCCAGTCAGAAACTGCTGTATCCCATGGGGGGGAAGTGGATCCGCACTATCAAATCTCCAGGAGGCAGGAGGCTGCGACAAAGGGAGCTTGCAGCTTGACACACGGGTAACAACATAGCAAACACCTTTAATTCTGTCATGTCTCATACCCTTTGCTTTCTCACACATTTGTGGCTGCTCTAACACTGACACCTACACTTAAAAAAAGAAAAAGAAAAAGAAGAAAAAGAAAAAAGAGTCCTCAACAACAAAAATCCCCAAATGAAGCAACCTTATTCAAGCTCAGAAAAGAAACACCTGTAAAGTTATTCTTATGCCCAGCAAAAATAACTAACTTATTAGCTCCTTCTTCTAATGGCTCAGAAAAGAGCAGGAAGCAGGTCTCTGGGCAAAAAACAAAAACACCAAAAAAAAAAACCACCTCCCCCCCAAAAAAAACCCAAACAAACAACCAAAAAAAAAAAAACACACACAAAAAAAGTTCACTTTTGGGAATGTGAAGCTCCCAGAAAGCTGATGGCTTTCCTTCAAATTGTGGGAGTTAATGGGAAGCGACTCATACAGGTTTGCCGGTGTAATTTCCCAGCTATTCTGCTGCTTGAGTGAGAATCCTAAACTGACCTTTCTCTCTTAGCAATGCATGCAAGCTTTCCTAGAGAGGTTTGGGGGTATGGTATACACGTGTGGGGTAGATACAAAGTGTGAGTGTGAGCGTACACATAGATGACCCCAAACTGAAGGAGGAGGCTACTGTGGCTCTGCCTCATGGCTCTCCCCAGCCCTGTATCTGATGGATTGACCCCAAAAGATTCAGCTGACACCAGGCAGAAGATGTGTCAAGTTGGGCGGGTGCCATGGCTTCAGCAGTGGCACCTCCTGGACTGACCCATACTAAAACTCCCTTTAGGCCCAGTACCTGCTAGGCCGGGCAGGGCCCCTGAGTGCACAAGGAGTTAACGCTTTTTCCAGCATTACTGGGTAGGTTAATATCACAGCTGCTTGGTAAAGCATTATCCAGCACCTCACTTAACAAAAGCCTGCTTTTGCAAACAGCCTCCTACTTTTCCCCAAGTGTCCAAAGGTGTTTACTGAAGTAAATCTGCCTAAATCCTCCATTGCTTGGGTCATGGGGGTGGTGAGGAGGGTGGAAGGTGTAGAGATAATCTCTTTTTGTAAATTCTGCAAATCTTCTGGGAAAAAAATCAGGAATCTGTGTCACATGCTTCTGTTCAACTGGTAACATCTCGGTTAGTGTGCTCCTTATGAGTGAAATCTGCCATAGCAGCTACAGAGAAATAAGATATCCCTCCCGCTCCTCATTGTTCAGACTGTTCTTCCCTCTCGAAGTTGCTTTAGCACATTTAATCTACTTGCTGATGGGAAGAAAAAAAAAAAAAAAAAAAAAAAAAAAAGAACAAAACCTGTTAGGAGCTTAAAAGTGGTTTCTGGGGAAAAATTAAAAAAAAAAATAAATAAATAAATAAAATGACAGTTTAGTCCGCAGGAGATAGTGTAGTTGAAAACTTGTCACTTGAGATTTCTGCACTACCCCGGTTATTCCAACACCAGCAACTGCATATTACTTTTTACATGTTGCAAATAGAGGCAAACAACACAGGAAATTTTGACAGCTCTGCCTGAAAGGGCTTAAATACTTCTCAGTAAGCAGGATTCAGTTATAAATAAACCTTGTCTTGGTGAGAAAAAAGTGACTGCGGCCAAAGACCTCACCATTTTTAAAAAGAAAACCTGATTAAAAGCACAGGGCTTCTGAAGAATAAACAAACAGGCAAATCTGGCGGGGGGGGGGACGGACGGGGACGGGGGACGGGGACGGGACGGGACACAGCCGGAAAATGGATATAAACTGGACTATGAAACCCAGGGAGCCCAGCTATAGAAACTTCCCAAATCTCGTCTTACTCCTCCTCCGTGCTAATTTTCTGGTACCGCTGAGGATTCTCTGAGTTGCTGCTTTTCCCCGGTAGGCCGGGGCAGGCCGGGCCGGTCGCCAGCCCGGGGACAGCTCTGCCATTGCCACCGGCCTTACCACTGGCCCCGCGGCCCCGTCGCAGCCCCCTGCCCCGTCAGGCGCAGAAGCACCCAGCTCGACCCTTCCAGATCATGTAAAAATATCACAAAATATATCTTTCCATGGGGGAAAGGGCGTTTTTTCCCCGGTAATCCGCCCGCCGTTGGCGGGCAAGGCTGTCTCACCCCCAGCCAGCCCCGCTCCCCAAGGTCACGGTGAGTAAACAATAATAGTAATTAAAACAAAATAATAGGCAGCAGTCAAGAGCTGAGAGTACACACACCTGACCCTAACTATAACAGACTTCTCAGAGTAGAATTTGATCCCTCCCTGACACTTTCTACCTCAAGTGTTAGAGCGAGTGGCCATGAATAGTACAGGCATGCCATCTTGTAACACTATCTGCCTGTCAGAAGAGCCAAGGCTGGGTAGTGCAGGATCTATATAAGGCTTGTAACTAGGGGAAGCCCAACAAACAGCTACAAACACCTAAGTTATTTTACTCAGCCTCCACCCTTCTGCTTTTTCCCCCCTTCTTCTCACTCTCTCCCTCTTTTTTTTTTTTTTTTTTCTTTTCATCTTGGCTTTCTGTTGCAGAATGCAAATGTAGCCTGCCGGCGGTGAATGGGCTGAATTGTGATTAAGAAGAAGAAGAGCTCCTTTCTTTGTTCTCCCCTCAGGGGATGTTTACTGGGAGAGACACAGCGGATCAGATATGAAAGGCATTCAGGTCAGCATTGATGTGAGCGAAAGTGAAATCATACCTAAGGCATTCAAAAGACCGCCGTGTCAGGGGTTCAGCTAACGGTGCATCTACTGTATCTTCCCTGTTAGGCACAAGGGAAAAAAAAAAAATCTCCACAAACAGGCATTTTTTAAAATTACAAGAAAAATTATATAGAGGGAAAAAAAAGTTTTCCCTCGCTTTACCTCCCGAGCAGAAGCTACAGGACTTGGTGCTTTTCTCCTTTATGATCATGGACGGAACAGGTCAACTTGTATTAATCGTAGCTGTTGGGATCAGCATTCTTTTTAAGGAAAAATGATCTAGCCTGAATTGTGAACCGTTATTTTCAGGCGCACCTATACCTACCCTATCTGTGCACACACCATACATACACGCCTAAGTGTATATGCATGTATACATCTCTCTCTCTCTCACTAAGTTTCAAGAAGCTGCGTAGCTTATTTATTCTGATACAAAACACAAGCAATCGCTTCTTGCCTCCCTCAGAAGCAACTTCAATGATAAAGGACAGTGTGGCATATCAAAACAGCACAGTACACCTTAGAAAGTAATCTTGTCTGAGCTTGGAAACTCCTAGAAACACTTTGCTGCAAGCTCACAGCGCATGAGGATGTCAACCACAGGCGTGAGAAGTTGGTGCACAGCTATTTAAGTTAAACTGCTTCAAGGAAAAGTCTAGGCATTGTCGTTTTTCTCATTAAAAATGCTTGATGGAGAAATATTTGGATCTTATTCTTTTCCTTTTTTTAAGTTTATACTTCTCACAGCCCAGATATTCTCTCAATAGACTTTCGAAGTGGTTAGCTGACGCTGTTGGCATAAACAGAGATATGTAAATATATAGCGGGAAAAATCACAAATTATAGTTAAGCATACAACGACTTAAGAGGTGGCTGCATTTACAGGAGCTGAAATGATAACGAAAAGAACAAATCATTTTTTAAAAGCCTAAAAAAATAAGGGACGGGACTGGATGTCGTGTGCAGTAATCATCCCCACATTCTGAATTTGTTTACACCTTCAGAGCCTTAGTTAAAATACACTGTTTGTGTAACGCTCACATCTGCTTTAACGGTGACGTTTAATTCTGAAATATTTTCAACTAGTGTTTCTGAATCACAAATTTCTCTCCTTTTTCTCTGTACCCTAAAAAGACAACTAAAGAGCAATCAAAAAGGTGTCTGACTTGGCCATTCAGACAATTGCACCCTTGTGGGAATGCTGGAATGAATGGTACAGTGGACACCCCAGCACTATTGACGTTATAAACATGTAAATGAAACACATTAGGGCAGACAATCAATTGTCTGTGAGCGCTGCAAACCTGCACTCTCTCTCTATGTGACAGGCACAAAATAGTGTCTACCTTGGGAAGCCATAGTCTTGGGGGAAAAAAGGACAAAGAGTTCTCTTTCACAGAGGAGAAAATGCACCTTAAAAGCGCTGGGATAATGCAGTCGCCAAAAACTGTTGTGAAGCGAAGAATTTCCTATTTCTTGGAATGAATGTGGGGCTGCTGTAAAAGAATCAACACCCTTCTTTCCACTCTGAAGGGAGACACACATTTTCTCTTGGAGACTATTACCAGCCTGTCCTGAGAGCTTGCATCTCAACCTTCCAACTATTTTCCCTACCTTGGGCAGTTGGCTATGTATAATTATCGATAATTAACTTGTAATGGTTTCCTTGTTTTTTTCTCCCCTTTCCGAATGCGTCTTTTCCAGTCATCAAGTCCATTTTCTTACAGCAATTAGAAATTCACCCAAAAGTTTCCTTGCGAAGCATGTGCGATAAGCAAAAGCCAATAAGTACCGAATGGTCACGCCACTGAATCAGGCACATATCTCCAAATTCACTGGGTTTCTCGAAACTCGGAATAAAATAAATAGATCAGTCTTGTCAGAGAAAACAAGCTCCTCTGCTCTGTGTCACAGCTCAGTCTGGACCTGAAGCTGAACCGTGGAAATCTGGCCAGATAATCATTACGCCCTGGTCAGTCGTGTTTAGTGCATTAATTTTTAATGCCTATCTCCAGGTGCTTTTCTGGAGGGAGTACAGTTTTGCAAGCAACTCTCTGAGTAATCTCCTCGCAACGGATTCCCAGCCCTGAGGAGGTTCCCGGTAAAGGAAGAACTCCCAGGTGCTTGCTCTGCCTCCCGCCACCTGAACTGCCCCAAAAGCAGCTTTTCACTCACCCCCACCTTCAGCCTGGCCACCCCCAAACTTCTCCAGGCAAGGAGGACAAGCCTCGCTTCCCACTCACTGAAGGCACCAGGCAGTTTGGGGTTTATTTTTGTTTCCCCCCTCGTTTTTCAAGTGAAGGAGGTTTCCCCCCTTCCCCAGCATCCCCGAGAGGAGGCGGGGGAGGTGGGGTGGATATCTTTTTTTGGGGAAAGCCTCTGAGAGAGTAGAAGCGTGTCTGCTTGTTTGGTCTGTGTTCTCCCTCTGATCAGACGCACTGAAAGCATTGAACTTTCTTCCTTTTCTTTGCAACTGGAAGCGAGATGGCAAAGAGATAGAAGAGCGCTGTTTACTGAAACTTTGGGGTAAATTACAGCCAACTTTTCCCCTTCCCCTCCATCCTGGGGATTTTAAATTTATTTTTTATTTTTGAGGGCAGGGAGAGGAAAGGAAGGGGAAAAACAGTCCACTCAACAAACGCCTGAGCACAACAACAGGGAGGGGAACAGCCCATCTGCTGAGGCACGACAGGGCAGGGCTCCGCACCGCTCCGCACCGGCACCGTGGCCGCTGGCGCAGCCCCCGCCTCCACGGGGCGCCCGTTCGGAAAGAGGGTTCTCTGTCCTCTCCTCTTTCTCCTCTTCCTCCTCCTCCTCCTCCGCCGCTACTGCTCTCCCGAGTGAAAGTGCCGCGAAGTGAGTCAGGCGCTGGGAATCATCTGACCGAACTTCCCGGAGCTCCGTCGCTCCGTCGCATTCCTGGGCGGTCCCCCTCCCCACCCCACCCCCCCTCTTTCGGGGTCCTCTCCTGCCCATCCTCCCTCCTGGTCTCCCCTCCGGGGGTCACCCCTCATTCATTTCCACATCCCGCTCTTGACACCACCCCCCCCACCCCCCCCCCGCCCCCCCCGCACACCTCTTCTTCACTCCAGCAGCTCGGATCAACTCCGTTAGCTTGGAAAATCCCCGGCTTTTTTCCCTTCTACTCTATTTAGCTCCACCGTAATTTTATCCGGTACCTAATCCCCAGCCTTGCCCATCCTCGCACACGAACACGCAGGGACACGCACACAGGCGTGGAGCACACCGAGACATCAGTTGTATTATTCTGGTTTGTCCCTGTCTGTAATGTGTATGTGGTTGCCCTCACACATCCTCCGCTCCCCAACCCCCCACACCAGCTTCCTTGATGACCGTCTCTCTTTTTTTTTTTTTTTTCTGGTGGTTTTTTAATATTATTTTGGTTCTGCTGCGTTTCTAAGGAATTTCTGTCTGATTTTGATAAGCATCACCGTTTCTGGTCTTATCAGCAAAGACACAAGCTCAGAAGTAACATATTTTCCACGAATCCAGGAAAGAAGAAAAATCCACTCAGTTCAGATAAATCCTGGGCAATTCCCAACGGGAAAGGCACTGGATACGTGCTTGTCGAGAGAGAGAGAATAGAAAAAAAAACCTTAACCAAGCCTACCCTCTCCTGTCTACCTGCTTCTCAGAACCAGGACATTTCTCACTCAGAAATGAAAGAAAGAAACAAATTAGGGAGCACAAAGAGAAAAGAGTGGATGGACAGAAAGTCAAATTATATCCATCCATCCACCCACCCCCCCACCTCCCCCCGCCTCCGTGCTCTTGGCCAGAGCAAGGCACTGGAGCAGAAGTTAGACCTCCGCCTAATCAGCGCACACTTTGAATTAAGTTTGCAGGATCTTTAAGCTGTTACCTTAAAATGGCAATTAAACTTTCGACTCCCAAGCGTGGGGTTTTCCCAAGTTAGTGCAGCTCCGTGGAAACACACTTCTGCATGGGAGCAACGAGAATCTGTGACACCTTGGGTCCATAAGCGTTCTCAAAGCCTTGGCTGGGATAACAGGGCGGGCAGGCTATGTCCGAGTGTCCTGGGCAAGCAGAGGCACCCAGCTCTTCATCTATTTTTTATTTTTTTTTTCTGGGGGGTGGGGGGAGGTTAAGACTCAAATTGTATTTAGAAAATGAGAAACACGTAGACGCATCCCTCATCAGAGAGCATGTAATGTGTTTAAACACGCTAAACTAATAATCTTGTATGGAAAGCAAAGAGCCTGAAGAAGAAGACACCCCCCCCCCCCCCCAAACACTCAGAATATTCTTTACTGCAAAAGAGCACTTCTGGATGCATTGCTTTAAATCTCGTTCTCTTTTTCTCTCAAAAATGACTGTTTAACATAAGAAAAAAGGCTACTTGACACAAAGCTTTTGTTATCCAGTTGATCAGCAACGTGCTTTAGATACTTGTAAGGGGAAAAAAGCCCCACAACAGACATTGATTTTAGAAAATCAATAACCAACATTTAATAAAAAGAACAGAGGAAACACAAGAGAGGAGAGGGAAACATTACGTGTAATTTTAATGTCTACTAAATTACCCAGAGATGAGGGGAAGGGGAGGTCTCCTCTGTGAGGACCACCTTAAATAATGACAGACACAAGAGTAAAGGGTGGTGGTGGAGGGGGAGAGACTTTAAAAAAAGATAACAAGGAACTGATCCTTGGGAAGAGGCTGGGAATATATTATTTTAGTTTAGTTGTCTTTTTTTGAGGGGGGGGGGTGGGGTTGGGGTTTTGGTGTGCTTTTTTTCTTTCTTTTTTTTTTTTTTTTTTGTAATACTAAGCCAAGCAAATAGATCAAAGACAACACAAAGGGAAAAGCCAGTGTAACATAACGAACAGTTTCTGACTAAAATTCCTCTATCACTCCCCCATATGGCTCGACGCCTCCACCACAACAAGAAAAAGACACACGCACACACACACACTTACACTCACAACCTAGAGAGAGGGAAGGGGGGGGGGGGCAGGATCATTTGCTTCTGATCAACATTCTCTAGTCTTTGTGGTTTTTATTGGTGGTGGTGCGCGTCCCCGTACCGTCTCCCCCCCCCCCCCCCCCGCCACCACCACCAGCTCTCCACTTAAATGAAGTAGCTAAGCTAGCAGCGCACGGGTCCAGGTTTACACAAATATCTTCCTTCCTCTAGCTCCTCGAGAGTAAAGTTGGTGAAAGTGGGCCGGGGTGGCCAGGCGAGTGGCTGCGGGTGAGAAGGGAAGAAACTACGGGAGGGACGGGGAGAGACGGGGACAGGGCACCCGCACGGGTGCGAGCTGCCAAACGTGAGATCAGCGCAGAACACCGCGTCCCGCTGAGCCCCAGCCCTCCGCGGCCGGCGGGACCGGGAGCGGGGGTGGGGGCGGCAGCTACGGACAAGCAGGCACCGGGCTTGGTAGTGTTATTAATTATTAGGGAGGAGGAAGTTTCATTTTCGAGTCCCTAACGATAAAAAAAGAGAGTCACTAAGTCACTGCCAGCCCGCTTCGGGATTCTCACGCCGCCGGGTTTTTTCCCAGGGCCTGTAGCGGGGCCGGCTGCCCTCCGCGCCGCTCCGCGCCTCCCACCGCCCTGCTCCTCTCCTCTCCTCTCGCTGGCCGTGACAGCGCCGAAGCGACCCGGGGAGCGGTGGGAGAACCGGAAAGCAGTGACGGAACCGGCAGCCTCCCCCCCCCC